AAAAAAACAATACCTAACCTCATATTTACAGTAAACTACAACTTAAATTAAAATAAATAACCAATTTCTTCTAATAACCGAGTAAGAGTAACTATAGCTAAGTTAAATTTATGTTATAAAAAAACAAATCATCAATTTCTTTCGTGTTGTGTTAAAATTATACGAGATCATTGTTTTGTTGTGTGTAGAAACAAAAAAAAAATACAAAATAAAAAAAAGAAAAACTAAAAATTATACTGCACGATGAACACAGCTGGTGTAGTTCACTAACAATAACATCGAAATAAACTTACAATTTACACGTAAGCACCGTCCGTGAAAAACTAACCTCAAACTCGAAGCCACCGATATGTCAAGTACTATGTCGCTCAACAACATCTAATGTAAAATTTAAAAAGATAATTTGAAAACATCTACATATAAAAATTTTCAAAATATAAATATCATTTAAATGCGAAAATCTCAATTCATTTGGTTGCAACACTATTAAAATACTTTCTTAATATTCACGGCAGTGCTTCGTCATATTAACAACAGACCAATGTCTAATTGCACATTACGTGTTTTTATGTTAATTTAGATAATGAAGCAATCAAAAAATATAATTCGAGACACGAAGCTGTCACCACATGAAAATGTAATCAAACATACCAAGGCACCATATTTTCAAAAATGGCGCGTCAATGACGTCACTGTCGAAACATTTTAAATGGCGCTGGTTAATGCACATTATCAGTTGAAATACAGATAAATGCTGCATAACATTAGTAAAATCAAATAATCTATCTAAAGTTCTGATGGAAATTATATAGCGAAATATTTATAAGTTTTTGCAATAGACTGTACCATTACTGTTACCGCGTGGTTCAACTTTCGTGTCCCGAAATATACAATGTTAACATATTCACTATATCCTATACAGATAATTTGTAAACTGTTAAAAATCTTACTCTATGTTCTCCCGACATGTTGCCAGAATAGTTAAATAGTGATTTTTAACAAATTCCATTTTAAGAAATTAGAATTTATAAGAAATATAAAGACCAATCTTTTACAGAGATTGACAATACCTGAATATAATGCAATTTAATGAATTTTAAACAAATCTATAACATAAATACATTGATAAAAATAATTTTAGAAAATTTTATTGTAATGGAATCTGGAATTCTCACGTAGTCAGCGCCAGTGGCGATTATTCTTTCTGTGTGTTATATTTTACAGAAATCTTTGCTATTCAGATCATGTTTTTCTCTCATAGAAGAGGAAATATAAAAATATATATATTTTATTAATTGTAAACATATTAAGAGAACCATAAAGTAAAATTTCCACAGGTTACATATGTAAAAGAGCTACAGAAATACAATGTAGATTAAATAGGATACAGAATTCCACACGCCTTGATCACAGTTAAGAATACTTTAAACTTTTAAACATTACAATTATAATCATATGTATTTTGTTAAACCCCAAATCTATGACTCCTATGTAACTTAAACCATAACTTTCCGATTTACGCTTGTTTTTAAGTTCTTTGTTTAACCCAATAAACAATTTCTGTGTTTTTAAAATAATATTAGAAAGAACATAATGTTCGTAAGATACGGCTTTCTTACCACGATTGGATTGTTTTAGTTCCCGATATTTCGGCACAGTTACATGCGCCATGTTCACGGGCTGACTGAAGTGACGCGTAGTGTGAAAAAAATAAGTTACACGAAGCCATATCGGTTTACTTTTCTCCTGTTACAGCTGTACACACACAGTAACTGTGCCGAAATATCGGGAACTAAAACAATCCAATCGTGGTAAGAAACCCGTATCTTACGAACATTACATTTGTAAAAACCACGACAGTTTAAAGTTATATATTAGAGAGAACTTTAGATTGTCGTTGTCAATCATTAGTTCCTATTTGATAAGTCATAATTATTGGAATAGTTCTCTTGCAAAATTTGCTTTCCAAACATATGATAATTTACATAGGAGCCATTGAAATGTGCATTTGACTGGCAATTCATATAATTATTAATATGGCAACACATTTATATAATAAGCAAGACTTTAGTTGCAAGCAAAATTGTCTAAATTACATTTATTAAGTCACAATTCATTATTGCTTTTTAAATAACCTCTACATTAAACACTGTCAATATTGGAACATTAGATGTGAAAATCATAATTAATCAAAAATTAAAACCTACCAATGATAGGCAAATGTGAATTCAATTTTTCTAATACTCTGACCCAAGTATAACAGTAAAATAAATTAAATTATAACTAGAACATTAATAAAGTAAATATAAAAAAATTCATGACATTCACTACACGCCGTTTAAAAGTGAAAAAAAAGTAGAAATAAAGCAATTATTAAGTAAAAAACAGTAATATGTGTACTACTAAATTTAATTAAATCTGAATTTCATCTGAATCATAGTAAAAAATGAAAATTATACTACTTAAAAAATAAAATTAATCTAATCAGTGTCATTTTAAAATTGGCAACAATTCATTATGTGTCAAAGTTCGTTGCAAACAAATACAATGTTTCAACACATTTAACAAAAAGTCGACAGAAATGTAAGAAATATTGGTGAAATATTGCTTGTAGCGGGGTACCAATACTGAATTTAGTTAAAATTTGACTAAACACATGAGTTATTGACAAACTTTAATATGAACCCAAAACATTGCTTAAAAATCAATTTAAAGAAATCAATCAAATATAGTTGTTTTAAATTATTCGAAATTTTTTGTAATCAGTGGTCGTGGGAAAAAGGCTGATGACTACTCTCACGCCACGCTTGTCCGTCAGGTAACGCGTGACGTCATACGTCATTTTTAGATTTACGATCAGACTACACCTCGACATTTTCGTAAAGAATAAGAGAGTTCATACTTTTATCTGAATGTTGTAGCAGTGAATATACATAATAGAGAAGACATCTCAATATCTATTGTCCATGAAAATAGAACAAGTTCTAATAAATACGGAATATTTGAAAAGTTTTGGGTCAAATTAAAGTTTGCCTTAATAATTTGTTAACCATAAATCACTTCCTAAACCGCTCTCAACACACTTGGTCCTGTATTTACAAGATACAATTTAATTTGAAATTTAACTAACTATTTACAATTTGGTGACTTTAAAAATGCCAGGTTTTACCCACAAACGGTCAATGCTTTGATAAAAAGTGTTATGCTCAAAATAATCAGTTGAAAGTTAGCAAATAGACAATTAAATGAACAAAATTCATCATTTTCCTAAATTTTGATATAAATATCTTTTATATGTATTTCTCTCCAATTGAACCTAAAATCCTTTGTTAAATTTTTAAAAAATACTTACTGATTTTTTGTTGAATCCAACAAGTATGTATTGTTACATCTTGTCGTAACTTGACAATATCATGTTAGACATCTTCAAATTAACTTTAACTTTAGTAGCAACTAGCACAACCATTATTATAACTTAACACTTTCCACCAAACACTAAGTCACCACAAAGCCTACGCCTCGGTAGCGACAGGCTCTCTTGCATGATGTATTTTAACATGCTTATTATGGTTAGATTTATTGCTTGAAGTTTTCCCACATATATTACAAGAGAACGGCCTCGCTCCACTATGTACTTTCATATGTTCCGACAAATAATAACTCCTGTGGAAGGATTTCCCGCACTCTGGCACTTTGCAGACAAACTTCTTTGCCATTTCGTGTTCTCTGACGTGACGTTGACAATTATATTTCCTGATGAACTGACAGCCGCAGTAATTACACGTGTATGGACGTAGAGATTTGTGCGAATTCATATGTGATATGTATTCCGTATATCGTATAAAGGCACCTTTACACAGATGGCATTTAAACGGCTTAGCTGACCGACTCATATGGGTCCACCGATGAAGTTTGAGATTCCACTTGGTTGTGAAGGATTTGTTGCAAATAACGCACGGGTAAGGCTTTTTACCGCTGTGTATTAATAGATGAGCGCGTAAATTCGACCTTAGGTATATCTGAAAAATAGGAAATAAAACATTTAGCTCATAAAACGGGTACGATAAAGTATGAGGTGGCGATTTCGACATATGATATTGCTTTAACAACTTAGACATAATTTTAGTCAAAATATATGTAACATTAACATCTTAAATGGCTATTTTCTTTTTATTAGCATTAAAATGAATTAAAATCTTACTAACAATATAAATGCGAAAGTTTTGATAAATACATGAATATACATGTTTGTTAGAGCCTAAACGGCTGAACGGATTTTGATGAAATTTGGCACAGACGTAGACATTCTCGAAGAACATAGGATACACACTACACCCACTTTTCTTTTTTTTGTAATTCACACATGGACGGACTTGCAGGGGAATGCTATTTAAAAACATGAAGGTAACTCACCTGTTTGCAAACAGGGCAGGGTACATTAACCTCCTTCCCCTTCACCTTGTCAGAGAGGAAGTGAGCGTTGTGCGTGCGGCGCACGTGCCGCGTCAGGGAGGAGGAGTGCACGAATTTGTCGCTACAGTAGAGGCAGGACTTGGGCTTCGCGTCGTGCGTCTCCTTGTGCCAGAGGAGCTTCGCCCTCGAGTGGTATACCGCGCCGCAGTGGCACACGAAGTCGCGCACCTTGGCACGCTTCTGGTAATGGTGACGGTCCCTGGATGGAAAAATTTACTGAGACTAACGGCCGAATATTGAAACGATAAAACTAAAAACTAAACATTTGTTGTCACGGTAATATAGAATGGGGTGTGTGGTACAGTCGGGGAATCTGGTGGTGATTTTAAACAAACACATTCGTTTGAACGTTTTGAACACATTGAGATGACGACACAAAACACATTAAAAAAAAACCTTACAGACGAATTAAGTACCTCCTTCTTTTGGGAGGTAAAAAAGTCAGTCAGTGGTACCCGGGTAATTGAATTTTATTATTACACCATCGTCTGTACTACTCACTGCTACCTTATCGGTTATTGGTAAGAGTCCGAGTTGGCGTAAAGGTGTCATGATCAAAAAGGGAGTGATGACTGAGATGACGTATGATAGAGTTATGTCGAAGACAAAAACCCTACAGGAGTAGGATAAGGAGAAAGATAATGACAGTAAGAGACCGTGTTTGTATAAGTTAGTTTCATTACAGCAAGGCAATTTTTCCGTAAGTAGAACACCGCTTATATCCACGACTGTACTTACCTGTGCTGCGCCATGTTGGAGTATCTGCGGAAGGTGTCGTCGCAGACGGTGCACTTGACGGGCATGCGGCCGGTGTGCACGTTGCGGTGCTCCGTCAACTTCTGACGCGTCACGAAACGCTTCTCGCACAGATCGCATCTGACAACGTCATAACAATACAATAAACGAATTACACTGCACAACACTATCAGTGGCAAACTATAGTTAATTTTATACATTCAATCGTAAGATTATTTTTATAAAACACTATTTAATATTTAATATAATATAAATCTTTTTATAATATACTAGATAATACAAGAAGTAACACACTAGCTACTAATAATATAAAGAGAGAGAGAGAAAGATTTGTATTTTTGTATATATTTAAATAACTCAAAAAATACTTGGCTGATTCAAAAATTCTTTCACCATTAAAAAGGTACATTATCAAGAAGTAACTTAGGCATTTATTATTGTTTTTTAATTTCAAGTGAAAGAAATCGCAAGCAACAGCTAGTACATTACATAAATACAAAAGTTTAGATGAATGAATTTTAGAGTTTGTAGCCTAAACTGCTAAATGGATTTCAATAAAATTTGGTAAAGATGTAGAGTCTATAAGAACACATAGGCTACATACTTTCGTTCTTTGTAATTGCACGCGGACTTAATCCTAGGCGAAAGCTACTTTAATATAAATATTACTATATCAATTTAATAGAAAACTATGAAATAAATAAAAAAGTATTACACTCTACTTTTAGACGAAGCAAAATTAAATACCAACTCACTTAAAATTCTTGATTCCTAGATGAGTTTTCATGTGCAGAGCTAGACTTCCTCTTTTGAAGAAACATTTCCCACAAGTGAGGCACTCCAATGGATGTATCTTTAGGTGGGCGTTAAAAGAAACCTCCGTTAATTGATCCACCTTGCAAGTTGGACAAATATAGTCCTTCTTCTTCCTTTTAGTCTCCTGTTTCACTAGGGTTTCTATAGCGGGCTTAGCTTCAGCGATAGCATCATATACTTGCTGCATTGTTGTCGCCATTGAGTCCTTCGAATCTATTGTTAGGAGATTCCCTGGAAATTATGAGTTTTTTAGATATTACAAATGCATAAGTTTGTATGAATGGATCTTGGATATTTACTTATTTAATAATTCCAGTAACATTTTAATAAATCTATTTACCTAAATAAAGCCTACCCTCACTTTAGGCTATATATCTTCACGCTTTCAAACTTAGAGAATAAATAATATGGGAAAAACTGTCATGTGAGTATGAGACAAAAACTACAATTTGACATCGAGAAATCAAGGTTGCCATGGTAACGGTAATTGGTATCCAATGTCAGACCTTTATTATCATTTATGTTGAATTTTGACGTTCGCAATTGAAATACAAATATAAACATTAAATAAAGTTTCGGATAAAGTCGCGAGCAACAGCTAGTTGGAAATAAAAGTTGCTTAACTTACTTTCTAAAACATTTTCGTCCAGTTTCTCCTCCTTTTTAATACTCCTGGCAGTGACGAGGCGACTGTAGCTGGTCTTCCCATTGGAGCAGGTTGGCAGCGAGTGGGCAAGAGCCTTGTGTGTCCGGAGCTCCTTCAAGGATGGATACTTGATACCGCATTGAGAACACGTGTGTAGTCTACTCTTTGCAAAATGGAGCTCATCCTCGCTGAAATATTTGCACATATGGCCATTGAATAAAAAAGAAAAAATGTAGACTCTGTTTTAGTCATGGAAACAACAGACAATATTAATTTAAAATGTTAGTTGCAATGGCGTGACTGTAATTTTATATTTCGTTCATATAAATACGTAATTTGACATGACAGCTTGGCATGATACAATCACAAGGAAAATTAATTCTATATTATTTTAGACTGTCAATGGATCAGTGTTAAGAACATATTTAAAACAAAATACTAACATGTTATCCCGTTTTTCGTTTGTGTCTACATCGGAGCCGTCGGACACCCAACTCTCCCGCGCCATCAGGTCGTAGGGCTCCGAAGGAGTAACCTCGTTGTACATCTGGAACATATAAACAAAAACTACAAACAAATTTCATGTTCTTTAACCATAACATTATAGGCTATATATAGTTCTATTGTCAAACTCTGTTAAAAGTGATGTACTTCCTTTCTTATCTAAATGAAAAAGATTAAAATAAGAACGTACATAAAAATTGGCGCATTTTAGCGGCTACTACCAGAAATATGAAAACAGTCCTCATATTGCAGAATAACATGAAACTAATTCCTTTGTTCACATTAGAAAGTGGTGTATAAGAGAAATAGATTGAATAGCAAGACATATTTGAATAACATTATTCAAAAGAATGTTTAAATAATGTCATAGTAGAAAAATTATATAATTATTCCTTATTGCAAATACTAAATAAGTACAGATATCAAAACTAGAACAATTAATATGTGATATTAAAAAGAAAAAATTAAATGTGCTTACCCCACTCCATGGTGATTCCATATCTCCATTACTTTCCTGTCCACTCAGCTCTCCCCGAGGGGGCATTCTCTCATCTGCACAAATGTTTAATGGAGTCTCCCCCTCACTACGACTCTCACTCAGCATGTCAACTTTACTGTCCTGCTCACACCGATCAGCCATCCCAATGTTACATCCTTCACCCATCTCAGAGTAATCAGGCCCATTACTCTCAGCTATCTTGTAGCTCTCATGAATAAAATTTGGCAATACAAACTCAGATTCCTTCTGTGAAGGCTCACCCCAAATGTACATATTATCTTTCGGCCCTTCCCTAAAACTAGACTCTTTTTGAGCCTCAAAAGATTCAACTCGGTCTGGGGTAAAGTAATCTGCATAAATATTATCTCCGAAATAATTTTCATTCATCATGTTAACAAACTGCTTATTCTTCGATGAAGTCTCCAAGTCCAACAGTTCTCTGTGGTTTGACTCATTTTCAAAATCTCCTGGTACCATGTTACCATATGATATCACATTGATAGGTCTCAAACTCTCCAACTGTGGTATATTCTGTAATGGCCTACCTTGGTTACTAAAACCACCCTCATTGCTTGCATTAAATTCTTCCTTTACCTTAACCTCATGCATGGAAAATTGATTAGAATCATTCAAACTAGATGGCGCGATAGGTTCTATGTCCATAGACTGCTCCTCTGTGTCAGCGTCAAACTCAGTATGGTCATTGCCTTTCAATTTCTCAATAGACACAGTTTGTAAGATTTTTGGACTTTCCAGTTTTTCAGTATGATGTATTTTATTTATACTAAAATTTTCTGGTGTCTTACAGATAGAAGAGGATGGTAGAGGCTCCATATCACTCTTATTGGAGGACTCAATAGATAAATTTATCTTTGCATTTTTAATCTGCAGAATCTTTTTGTGTTTTTTAACATAGATATTGTTCAACCTCAGGGTATTCTTTTTCAATTCCTTATGTTGGAATTTACTCTCTTCTATATTTTCATTGATAGTGTTAAGGTGGCTCCTACTACTGTCAGCTTTAGGTGACAATGGCACATTATCTGTAGAATTATACCCATGTTCCGATAACTCACTACATGGAGAAATAGATGGTTTTTCATTACATATTAAATCAGGTACAGGACAACTATCAGAAAATTCAGTTTCAATTTTGCTACCTACAATACTAGACTTGGAAGGAGAATCTTTATATGATGGAGGATTCCCTACATTTTTTATCACAGAAAATGCATTTGACACCAAGCTATCACCACTTGCTGTGGAAGGCTGTGTGCCTTCATCGGAAAAACTCTGATTATTATCTTCTAAGTCAGGTAATATCTTGTCTGGTGTTATTGAATTTTCAGGGTAATCTTGATCATTAGTTCCTGTTAGATCCATAACTGTATTTAACATGCTTTTCTTATGTTGAACTGGTACTTCCACTTTAATATTGCTAAGGATTTTAAGACCCTTTGTGGTACCAATGGGTTCATTCTTTAGCTCAGTTTCTTCCGGTTTACTGTTTTCATCCAAACCTGATGATCCAAGAGATGAACTTCCACTAACATCACCCAACCTGCTAGTGGCTGGAGTGTTTATTGGACTGACTTCAATTATTAGAGTTTTATTACAATCCACATCATCATTGCATCTTTTCTTTTGCTCATTGGATAACAGTAATGAGTTTTCAGGGTAAATGGAAGCATTGCAAGGTTTTTGCAATATTTGTTGAGGGTTTGCATACATACATGAGGTATTACCAAACTGATCAACAACTACAACATTCTGATATAAAGAACTACTCTGGGTGACATTCCCCAGGTTGTCATGACCTCCGAGCATATTAGGCATAGTTGAAATAAATGGTTTACCATCTAAGTTGTGAACCATTTCTCTATATATAATTTGTGAGTTTTGGGTGACAACTGTAGTGCCCGGTGAGAAGGTATTGGCTCCCATCTGGTTATACTGATTGGGGATAATAGGTTGAGCACCCTTGGTGTTGAGTGTTGCATTTGGTGGTAAATTCCCAGACATTATCATGTTACTTTGAAGATTTTTCTGGACAAAAGGTGATGATGGCATCACCACATTAACACCTGGTGCTATATATTGTACTCCACTCATATTTTTGAAGAGAATATTATTAGACTTTGGCAGCAACTTAACAAACTCAGGTTTAGGCATTAACTTAACAAGGTCACTACTTTTTTTCGGTGGTATAAGTGTTGATGCAACAGATGCGGGAACCTTGGGGGCAATCTGAGGCATGTTATAAGTAAAAGCATTACCTGAACTATCAATTGTATTGTAGTCCAAACTACGAGAATATTTAATCTCACGATCTTCACTTTGATCTGGGTAATATTGGTACTGTTGGTCAAATTCTGCTACTCGGACATTGGATGCATATGTCTGCTGTGTTTTATCCAGTTTCATTGCATAAGAATTTTCAGAATACTGACCTCCATGGTTAATATGACTATTTTCAAAATTAACTTCACCAATTCTTATATCAGGAGTGACATTTCTTGATGGGTTAGAAAGTGGTGTCAATTTACTTCTACTTGGTGTTCTTCTCCAATATTTTTCGCTATCCAAGCTCTGGTGGGAGCCCATCCAACGCAAGCCGTCGTCCGCCGCAGGAGTGCGAGATCGACTCTGATAGGAACGCTCGGATTGCGACGGAGTTGAAGTACGACTCCCATAATTGGTGTTCTTACTTGACAGACTACATAAAGCCTTTATAACTTGATCCTTTGGATGTGTGTCTAAATGAGACTCCAAAGTCATTCCACTGTGTAAGTATAGAGTGCACACAGGGCACTGAACTCTCGAATCCATGTTTACACCTTCAATATCACAAATTGCCACAAAACTGACGCGAGGTCGCGTGACGTTATATCAAAAAGGAACTCGCAATTAATTCACTGTGTTGCTTGAAACGAGCCTCTTCATGCACATATCTGTCCGCACGTAAGTCGCACAATCCACAATAACACATATCCTCGACGTAACTCGTCCCCTTATCGATCTGTCGGACAAAACAAATGTAAATAAATATAATATGTTCCATGTTACATCGACAAATCAATAAACTCGATCGACACACTACTAGAGGACAAAAGAAAACAAAAGTTCGAGATAAAGGCCATTCAGACATAAAAAAGTCGAATACGAAGAAGAAAGAACTGAATACATTTGTATAAGCACATTTCAGAACTTACCTATTTACTATATTTGTCATGTATAATCCATGGCATTTATAACTCTGAAATAGATATTTCCTGCATTTACGACTATGCTAATTCTAAAAATATTTCCAAATAGTCAGACATATTGTGATATTGCAGACGTCTTGATCACAGGTTCAACATCACATCACCACAGAATGCTCACGCAAGAACACACACACGACTTTAGTATTCCGATTCACGTCATTTATTACAAGAATTTTTCAAATGTTTTGTTACAATTGTATGTAAAATCACTGCAGAGTTATTAAACTAAGTGTTTAGCAAAAATGTAAGTTCCATGAGCTTTCAACTTTCTAAGGAGAAAGCAAGACAGAGGTAATAAACATAAAAATGTGCGAAAAGAAACGCGCTTGGCTGATTAATTGAGTTACGTACTCTTGGAAATTCTTACTATTTACTCTACGCATATTTCATTTTTACACTGTCATTTGTCAATGTCAAATAATTGTCATTTGTTATAAATGTAATTTCGCTGCCACCAACTTCAGCTTTTAAACTAATTAAATATCAGAAGTATACATTAATTAATAAGTGAAGTTGTACACTAAAATATATCTTTTAGTAATATTGTTATTGAATATTTGTGTTTGTTTTCACTCATTACTTACAGAATAAAAAATGGACAACTACGACGACTTAAGTCCCAGTGGTAAGTTAACAAGGTTTCAATGGTGTTTTGAGTTATCTTTTCTCTAGGCTTAGATGCCATTATAATTAATCGATATCAAGTCATGATATCAGAAAAATATGTCATAATCAAATAAAATACTTATTTACAATATGTAAAAAGTGGCTTTAGGGATGTCATCCTGGGTTTATCATGTCAGAAACTAATTTAAAAAAGTTCATATATTCTTGGCTATACTCTTCCCAAAACTAGTTTATAATTCTCAATATAAACCAGAACAAGCATAAACATTTACTTCATTATATTGGTTTCTTTTTTATTTTTCAGAGGTAAATGATTTGTTAAGGAAATGGCGTGAAAACAACGAGCGTAAAAGTTCCGATGTTGTGTCACTTTGGATGAATGTATTACAAACACACAGTAACAAATATGGTAATGAAAGTAAGTATCAATGCACGAGAATGTTATCACTTAGTATTTACTATGGGTGTCACTCAGTGCACATTTAGATGTAACTACTAGGGTCATCTAAGTAAGAAATAATTCTTAGCAGTCATATCACAAGGGGCAGTTGAGAATCAAAATCAAAATAAGTACAAAAACAACTGAATAGAGTCACATACATGAAAGTTGCCCCCTCTTTGCTTCTAGTCCTAGCCTAGATTGTCTTTTTCGAAAAACATCAGGAAGTGCAGTCGTTTTTCTCATTTTTTATTAACAAACTTCCACTGCGGAACAGAGGTATTATATATCTAACATGTAAAACTACCTGTAAGTCTGCTGTGAAAATTTATGGAATGTTCTGTTTCAGAATATGTTTTATTAGAGCAAATAATTTATGCCATGTTGGACTGTCATCTGTATGGTTTGGCGAAAGGCTTGATATATGTATTGTCACTGGAGTTCCCGAGTAGTCTGAGGGTGATGCGTTACAAAGCTGCAGCCCTAGAGGCGGAGGAAAAGTTAGTTAATATAGTTTACTATAATAACTTAGAGGCTTATTATTGATTGTTATATAGTCCTCAATTTTTTTCAATGTTTAAGAGTTTTATATGTTTGAATAGATATGATGAAGCATTAAATGTTTTGGATGTTATAATTAATGCGGATGAGACAAACGCGCCGGCCCGCAAGCGCCGCGTCGCCGTGCTTAAAGCGCAGGGCCTTATACACGAAGCTATCAAAGAGCTCGCTGATTATTTGAAGAAGTAAGTCTTTACACTTTTTTAAAGGAAAGAAAGCTCAAAATTAACTTTATTATAACCTAAAAGATGTATGTTTGTTAAAAAGTTCCTTTCTAAGTTGTAGTGTTTGTAGTTTGTTTTTATAAATCAAAGAATAACTCTAACTATACTGTTATTATAAAGAAGAAAGATTTGTATTTATTGTATTGAAATAACTCAAAAACCACTACTCATTTGAAAAAAAAAATTATCATTAAAAAGCTATGTTATCAGTCAGTAATATAGGCCATGGTTTTACTATAATATTTTTTTTATTTCACGCGGACGTCGGACGACGACCGACGACGGAAGTCGCGAAAAACAGCTAGTATACTATTAAGAAGGTGGAAATCTTTCATTTCTATAGGTTCATGTCAGATGTGGAAGCATGGCAGGAACTATGCGAGCTCTACCTTCAGGTGCAGGAGTACTCGCGCGCCGCCTTCTGCGCCGAAGAGCTGATCTTGCACCAGCCACACAACCACCTCATGCATCAGCGGCTTG